GAACTATGGAACAGCTGCTGTCCTTGAAGAAGGCGAAGTGAGTTCTCTCTTGCCCCAGAGACAGAGCCTGCCAGCTAGGGACAAGCAGTCCCTAGATGTGGGGGAAGAGTCCAGAGCTTAGAGCACAGGGAGCCTCTCATGCTGGCCACCACCCAGAAATTCATGCTTCTGCCAAAAGGGGCTTGATCTTGCTCTCCCTTGGGGGTGCAGAGCTAGAGAAAGCCCATGGTGGTGAATGACATGTACTTGAGCAAAAATAGCCCCTGCTTTCACAGCAGAGGAATCCTACTGTGGTAATATAAAGGATAAGAGAAGCCATTTTGGATCAGGCCAACAGTTCAACTCTCTGTGCCATACAGTGGCCAAAACCTAGGTGCCATCAGGAGGTCCACAAGCGGGGCCAGGACACCAGAAGCCCTCCCACTGTTGCTCCCACCCAAGCACCAAGAATACAGAGCATCACTCCCCCAGACAGAGTGTTCCATCTATACCTCTGTGCTTGTCGCTGCCACCACTTTCTGCGGCAGTGAATTCCATGTGTTAATCACTCCTTTGAGTGAAGAACTACTTCCTTTTATTCATTCTAACCCAACTGCCCATCAATTTCATGGAGCGCCCATGAGTTCTCGTATTGTGAGAAAGGAAGAAAAGTACTTCTTTCTCTACCTGCTCTATTCCATGCATGATTTTGTAAACCTCTATCATGTCACCCCTCAGTCATTGTTCCTTCAAGCTAAAAAGCCCTAACTTCTTTACCTTTTTTCCATAGGGAAGGTGTTCCACCCACTTATAGTTGCCTTTTTCTGCACCCTTCCCAATGCTATAATATCTTTTTTGAAGTACAGTGACCAAAACGTATGGTGACCCTGTAGGGTTTTCAAAGCAAGAGACATACAGAAGTGGTGTGTCATTGCTTACCAGTTTGATGCCAGTTTGGTGTAGTGGTTAAGTGCGTGGACTCTAATCTGGGAGAACTGGGTTTGATTCCCCATTCCTCCACATGCAGCTGCTGGTGTGCCCTTGGGTCAGTCACAACTTCTCTCAAGAGCAGTCGTCAAAAGAGCTCTCTCAGCCCCATCTACTTCACAGGGTATCTGTTGTGGGGAGGGGAAGGGAAAGGAGTTTGTAAGCCGCTCTGAGACACTTTTGGGTAGTGAAGGGCGGGGTATAAATCCAATCTCCTCTTCTTACCTTTGCGTAGCAACCCTGGACTTCCTTGGTAGTTTTCCCTCCAAGTACTAACCAGGGCTGAGCTTGTTCAGCTTTTGAGATCTGGTGAGATCAGTCTAGCCTGGGCCATCCAAGGCAGGGTTGGTGCACTTTCTCCTGGCCTGCATTTTCTGAGCTCCAGGAGGCAACACTGCAGACTGTACAGGCCAATTTGTCTATTTAGTTCATTTTTATCCTGCCCTTCCTCCAAGGGCAACGAACATCATTCTCCTCTCTTCCATTTTACCCTTACAACAACCCTATCAGGTGGGTTCAGAGGGAGTGACTGCCCCCAAAGTTGCCTACCAAAGTTCCATTGTATGGTGGGGATCCAAACCTGAGTCTCTCAAATCCCAGTCTGACACTCTAGCACAGTGGTGTCAAACTCATTTGTTGTGAGGGCCAGATCTGACATAAATGAGATATTTTTTTTTTAGTACCCGTAGGTACACTTTTATTATTTTTCATATTATATACTAACAAACATACAACACATAACTAACAAACATACATACAACACATCACCAACACCCATTTACAAACAAAAAACATACCATGAGATCAGTATATTTTCTCTTAACTCTATTACCATATTAAAAATTTCTTATGGTTTGCTTAAGTTTCTGTGTACTCCTTTATACCATAGATTCTATTTAACTAAAAGAGATTAATCCTACCAAAAGTTTCATTACTTCATTACTTTAAACTATGCATTTATATTGTTCCAGTCATACAGTTTTTTCCACGTCTTTTGGAATGTTGGGTCTGTTGTCCCTCTCATCAACGATGACAGTTTATCATTTTCCGCCTTCTCCAACAGTTTATTAACATACTCTTGCTTCTTTGGTGCTTCCATTTGTTTCCAATATTTTGCATATAATATTCTTGCTGCCGTAGATAGATGCACTATCAAATATCTATCGCCTTTATCAGAGTCCTTTGGAAATATGTTTAATAATAATATTTCAGGCAAAAATGGTATTTTAGATCTTGTTGGGTCGGGCCACGTGTGTCATAAAATGTAACGTCAGGTAGCGGAGATATAAACTTTATAAAGGACACAAACACGAAGATTTTTTTTAACTTAAAATAAAAACATGCTTAAACCTTAAGAACTCTTGCAATATTTTGTTTATTTAACAGTATCTGATGACTGACACCTCTTGCTCCGAACTATTGCATCAAAATGCCTGTGCTGTTGCAATCTTGTGTATGCTGTTCAAGTGAGTATCTGAAAGGTGCAAACCTACTTTTGATTTATTAACATTCACCACAGAAATCTCATGCTCAGAGTTCTGAGTCAAGGACCCAGGGGAAAGCATGAAATGGCTGAGCGATTGAGAGATCTGGTGAAGCAAGCTATGATGCAGCAGCAGAACTGGAAGCAGTAGATGGCCAGTTCCACTGCGGGCCTGATAGCCCCCGGGGCACATGTTTGACACCCCTGCTCTAACCACTACGCCATGTGCATTCTACATATATTTACAAAAAAGTAACTCCAACTGAGTTCAGTGGGCTTATTCCAGGTAAGCATGCCTAGGAATGGAAGCCTTCATTTCCTTTGGAGATACCACCTTTGGAGATGCCCTGACCTGGATAGCCCAGGCTAGCCCAATCCCCTCAGATCTTGGAAGCTAGGCAGGGTTGGCCTTGGCTAGTACTTGTATGAGCGACCTCCAAGGAATACTAGGGGCTTGATGCAGAGGCAGGCAATGACAAACCACCTCTGAACCATCTCTTGCCTTAAAAACAAGTCTAGCTCGTCACCTAGTGGTGCATAACGCTAAAAAGCTAGAACTTTTGGCTGCCAGACAATCTTAGGAGCTCCTGGCTACTCTACACACACTGCCATATGATCATTGTTAATTATTATTACCTTTGGAGATGTAGAGCTTTTTTGTATTATTATAATATATGCAAGCAGAACATAAGTGGAAGCAAAGAGGCACCCCTCTGGGAGGCAGCAGATCTACTACTCCACAAGCAAGCTCTTCAAGGTCCTTCTTCTCTGCCTTCCTATTCGAAAATGCAAAACTGTTTCTTCATCACACTGCATGGGGCTGCCAACAGCCTGGAAAATATATATACCCTGCCCCTTTAACAGAGATTCAATGGGATGGCACTTTCCATCAGGTGGTGTTATTTAAATCCATGGCCTGAAGAGCTGCAGCTGTCTGTTTCTACACACGTTAAGCCTCTACTAAAGGGGCAGGGCATTCCCCCCTCCAGGTAGTTGGCAGCCCTCATGCAAACAAGGGTTTACACAGTCTGGGCCCTTCCTGTTCCTAAGACCACCTATTCCTCTGTACTTATCAGTGGCAAATGCTCATCCTTGTCTACTTTGGCCTCCCACCTGCAGGCAGATTGTGACCGCCTAGTCTTTTTTCTGTGGCAATGTTGGTCTTATGGAACCGCCTTCTCAAGAATGTGAGCAACCCCTCCCCTTGTTGGTATTCTGGCAGTGCTTCAAGGCAGAAATATTCAAAAACTGCCTTTCAAACGGTATTAATCACATATTGTAAGTGGCTGGAGGTGATGGTGGCTTGTCTGAGGCTGGGTGAGATTTTAATCAGCAATTTGTGTCTCCCAGACTGTAGCTCTTATGGGGATGTGGAGTATGAGCAACCAGACTTGGTTTCTAGCCCATTGGGGTAGGTTTGTGACTAGCAGACATACAGCAGAAATTTCCCACACTTTTGCTACTTACACATGGGACAGAAGCATCCAAGAATCAAGATAATCTGGCGGGCCACCTGATCCTATTCTCTCTTTTAAGAAAAAGTCTCCCTAATGGGAGCTTATTCCCTACCAAGAGGGGAATAATAAAGTAAAATTGAATCCAGACAAGGCAGATGTGACACTGGGCCAGAAGAGGCCAATACTCTGGATTGGATTTGTTTACTTGGGACTGATGACGGGTTGTTACCTTGCGTGATCCTTCAGAGAATACTGAACCCAACCCCTGTTTCTGAAGGGCTAATGGGAGCTGTTGCATCCTTTCTTGGTAAGTCTGAACTTGTTTGCTAGGATGACCCAACATTCTGAATGTGGGGCAGCGCCTGAATGCAACTTGTGGCAGAAAGCTGTTTTTTGTATGCCCGTTTGCTTTCAGGCTCAGTTCCGAGGTGAAGGTTTCAGCCTCGAAAGACCTTCATGGGGTTGGATCCACCTACCCGAAGGATCACCTGCAATGGTCCCTCTAATTTTCTCTCCCTGCTGAGCAGAGCGCTTCACATCCTGAACAGAGCTGCTGTAAACTTAAAATGGGCACTGCAAGACCCTTCGCGGCTCCAGATTGCTGCTGCGTGAGGCTAAGAAACGGGGGCTATCAGTGTTCGTCGAGAGCGCAACCCGATCCTATTGCCCGCGCACGTGGGGCACCCCAGGGCCCACTCCGAGGACCAGCAGAAACTCGGCCTGGGAAAGTTCCCTCTTTACGCCCCGCGCCGTGACAACAGTTTCGAACCCTCCCCCGTCCCCCTCCCACCGCCTGACGTCACTTCCTCCGTCCCGGCCCTGCGATTGGCCGCGGGGCCCCGGAAGCGAGGGCGGGCGCTGGGCCGCCGTTGCCGCAGTGACAGGACCAGAGCGCTCCCTCCAAGTTGGGAAATGGCGGCGGCATCCTCGTCGTCGCGTCGCTCGCAGCCGCATCACCACAACCACCACCCCGCGCCCCCTCATCACCACCAGCCGGCCGCGGCGCCCGCCTC